TATGTGGTCAGTCGATTGTTCCAACTTCCACCACCGCCACCGAAGTTTCCCATGTGTTGTGTATCCTACAGCAGCTTTTTTATTGTCGGATTCACCCTTCCTGAATCGTTGCTACTTACTTTACTACGGCTGGCTCCTTGGAAAAAATAAGCCGGCTCCATGAATGTCTCGAATGGCCGCTATCCATGCTTGGCGGTTGGCTGCAAGATCCTTGCAAATTCTAATCAAGTTTGTTTTCCATTGGCATGTCCCGTACACCATCCGAAGGCCAAGTTGGTCGACGTCTTCGAATACAGTGTCCAGCCAGGTTTTTACTTGCCCCGTTGTCGGCGGCGCCAGCCAGGACACGGTGTCGGAGCCAATACTCGTAAAAGTGTCCCCGTGTCTGCGAAGAACATGGCCCAGCCATTGCAGTCGGCGGCGTTGTATGTGCGTTGAGANAGACGGGCAACGTGGCATCGATTTCTGAGGTCCGAGTTTGAGACTCAGTCCTGCCAGTTTACTTTCAGAATGAATTGAAGACACCAGTGATCGAAGACCTCCAGTCGTCTGATGTCCTCAGCTCTCAGCGGCTAGGTTTCGCAGCCGTATGGTAGGACTGGTCGAACTGCTGTGGCAAATACCCTGAGCTTGGTTTTGAGGCTTATCTCGTTCCGGCGCCATCGGATGATTCGGAGCGTCATGGAGGCCGTTCGGGCCGTGTCGATGCGCCGCTTTACATCATCTTTGGCTTGTCCATTAGGCAGGATGACGGACCCGAGGTACTTGAAGTCCGATACGATTTCTGTTGTCTGACCATCCAGTTGCAGAGAATGTTCCGCTTGATCAGATGGAGTAGCGAACATCTTGGTTTTGGTAGGATTAATCTGAAGGCCGATCTCAGTGGTAAGTCTTTTGATTCGGTTGAGAGCTGTTTGCAAGGCGGTCAGGTCGTCTGCAAGCACTATCACGTCGTCGGGGAATTTGAGGTCAGTAATCCAGCAATCCGGAGAAACTTGGACACCTTGGTAACCTTCAGTTACCCGACGCAGAATCCAATCAACGGCGAAGTTTAACAACACTGGAGATAGCGGGCATCCTTGTTTTACTCTTGACCTCAAATCGAAGGGATGAGACTCTTCGCCGTAGGCACGTATACGGGCTTTGGTTTGGGTGTAATACGATTTCACTATATTAACCAACTTTGCAGGGACGCCACCTGCAAGCATAATCTTCCACAGTGACTCGCGGTCCACTGAATGAAGTTTGACGCGAAAGTCAATGGAACATGTAGCAGTGGGGCGCTGAAACTTGTATTGATGTTCCAGAATTCGCCTTAGGATGAAAATCTGATCGATACATTCTTTGCTGGGTTGGAAGCCTCCTTGGTTTGATCGCGTACGTGCATGCCTCACTGTAGCAAATCGATTAGGCTCAAGCTGGGCAAACACTTTTTCAACCACATCTAGCAGACTGATGTCCTGATAATTCTCGCGGTGTCTTGTCGCCCTTCTTGCGGAACGGAAGCAAAACCGAGGTGTTCCAATCAGTTGGACATATTTCGGTCTCCGAAATAAAGCGAAAGAGAGAGTGAAGCGGTGTGATGACTACCGGAAGGCATTTCTTATATATTCCTGCCGGGATTCCGTCTTCACCAGGGGCCTTGCCGGACTTCAAGCGACCGATAACTGCGCCTATTCCTTCTATCGTTGGGGGATCACAGTCGACCTCGTATGGCTACGCCATATCGGGATGAATATCCGCCGAATTACCCAACTGATGACTGAGAAGTCGACTAAAATGTTTTGCCCATCTGTTCATTCTACTGTCGATATCGGAGATCAGTCTCTCGAAGGAGTCTTGCAGAACGGGTTGTAAAGATCGCCTTCTACCGGACGCTTATCTTATGAGGCGAAAGAGATCTCCGAAGTGACATGCACTGGCTGCGGTTTCCATCTTGCTGGCTATTGCGTTCCAGTAGTTGCGTCGATCTGCTTTTGCAGAGCGGGTTGCTTCCCGTCTGAGTCGCTGGTAATCGTGGTGGCCAGCTAGACGGGCGTTCCTGGCCAGGGTTGAGCGACGGATGGTTTCCTCCGATGTCCAATCTTTGTAGAAGCGTTTCGTGGTACCAAGTTTGTTTAGTGCGGCTTGTTGTACTGCAGCTTTCATCCTGGACCACTGCACATCAGTGGAGTCTGCTACGATGACCGATGGGGTAGCCTACAACCAAAACAATCTAAGGCCGTTCGTTTTGTTCAATGTCTGTGATAATCGAATGGGCTTATCCGAACGTAGCATTCCGAGTTATTCCAGACTTTGTGTTGCCCTACTTATCATGTTTGGATTATTGTTTATATATATATTACAATAAGTAGTATATGAATGACTGGACGAAGTTTCCCTGGAAGCGCACGATCGGTTTCCCGGTTTTTGCCGCTCGTTAGGCATGCGTATCCAGTAATCTTTTCTTTTCATTTACATGCTTGTACCTAAGAAGTATATTTTCGTCACTCTAACCTCATTTGCAACACCGGTTCTGAAAGGGTTGTCCAAACAAATTTACCCGCGTTGCTAATGAGGTTATTGTGACGAATATATATTATAACTACTGTATATAACTACTTGCGGAACCAAAATGTCTGTTGCCACGTAGGTACCGTAGTTCCTTAAGTGAAATAACCTGCAAGTATCGATCAAGGTTGTGTGACATCCTGAATTTCGTGAGATCTAACACCTAGTGTTTTGAACCTCAATCATGGGATTGAATATTTTATTTCTCCACATCAGACTTAATATATCTGTGATAGTGTCCATTTATTTTTTTTGCTTATTTTGGTTGAATAGCTAATAGAAATGCCACTTGGTTTCGACGATGGTTGCTGTCGCGTCAGTTCTAAGATAAGGAAACCTCTAAGGAAAAAGATCGTATGAATTTATTGACACATGATACATGTTACAGGGATCCTACTTTCATTTTATCAATGCCCTGTGTACCCTCCTTCATTTTGCATACAAAGTTTATGACCACATTGTTTTCCAATTTACTTAAGGTAAAAATTATCATTTATTGTTTATGGCTTTGTACCGTATGAAAAAGGACATGCTATTTGGGCAACTTGTACTGACTGGAACGAAAATCCTTTGTTATAAAGAATGGACCTCCGTGCTGCTCTGCACGAAAAATTTTCATAATCTGAGCGGTAACTTCTAATTTACAAATTTTATTGTGCAATATGAGGTCCAAACACTACAAATGGTGACACACGAGGATTGAGCACACCGCAGTGGTAGTTAAAGCTAAGGATAAATGTTCTTCACCCACATGCTATCGGTACACAAGCATTTTATTGGAAACTGAAATATATTTCTGAATTTAGAGTTATGTCGCCCGAGTTTGTATTGTTTGCCGTACCAGCTACCGTCTCAGTGTAATTCTCCGTCTGATGGTTCGTACAGAACTGTGTATTCCGAAACTTTCCCAAGTTTTGTATTTTTACCGTTGGTTCTGTCTGTACTTCTTTTGTCTACATCGTTCCGCAAAATTTTCCTCTTACCTTCCATTCAGCCGAACCATTCCAACCGCATTTGCAGCACTGATGTTGATCTAGCGACCCTGCTTCGCACGCACTTCTCACAAATCGAACAAGTGTCTTCGGTGCAAGCTTGTGAATCATGTGGAAAGCAAACTGTCCTAGCGCGACGCATGTGTCTCAAAAGCCTTGCATCTCATGTGCTCATCTGTCTGAAAGTTTTCACATTTTGCCGTGAGAGTCAAACTCCATCAAAAATAATGAAAAAGATTGCCATCCCAGAACGATTATCGGTCACTCTGTCCACTCAGGACGCGGTATCTACTCCAGAAGTTCGGTCCTCGAAATTGTTCGCAAATGAAGTTCTGTTCCCATCCACTGACTCCTCGGACAATTTGCCAGATACCAAGACCGAACATCCAGAATATTTCACCTCATCCGTATCCTCATCGTCCGCTTCCTCTCCGAGTGACGATTCACGATCGGTCACCACCCGTACATTCAAGCTTCAAGGCATGATTTTGCACCACGGGCTCTCGTTACATTGTGGACACTATACGTGTGTGGCTCGTGTCGGTATGGAATGGATCTCTTTTGACGATGCTTTTGTTCACCTCACCTCACTGGATCAGATCTATTCCAAGCCATTAACTACGCCGTACTTATTGCTGTATGCTCAAGTTTGACCACATCAATCGCTAGTTCTATTGTCACCACTACTTCCATGGCTTTCACCGTCTGTCACCCATCGACTGGCTAAATTTTATGCGTCGAGGACAGATGCATCAGCAATCACTCATTGCATTTTGATCATTGTGCTGTGATTCATATTGCTCAATTCTAATTTGGTATATCTCGCCATCGAGTGAAAACGAAGACAAGGAGAATATTCAGCTTCATTTCTTTATGTTTCGTCGTTTGGACCTTCAAACAGGTTCTGTTCTGTTCTTCCACTGGTACTCATTCATGTGCAGTCTGTCGTGTTTGGATTCAACTGGCGATCTGGATCACTGCCTTGCACGATCTACACATGAGCCGTGTTTGCCGCGACTGTAATGACACGTCGCACTTTGCCACACATGTAGATTTCGTTGTTGGTTACGTTGAGACGGATGTTTTCATCCGAGTAATCATCCCGGAAGGAATCGTCGGATTTTGGTTGCTCACCTCCCCCCATATCCAAGAGTGTCGTTCTTTCACGCTCTTTTTTTCGGTTCAACGATTCCTCCTTTGTGCTAAACCGGACGCGAACATTATACTTGTACGACAAATGTTTTTATTGTTTGCGCACGCTAATAGTTCACGTGATCTCCTTTTTAAAATTTCCTTCACCTCTCACGATATAAGCGTTGTCGGCGTCCTTTTCCTTAAATTTAGTTCTCATTGGTTTGTTCCATTCCTGGGTGTCTCAAGGCTCAATGCACTTGCGCTCTTATATTTTACAGATGTTATTTAA